GTACTGCTAAAAATATATGTAAGGAGCCTGCAGACCTCTGTGGGAGGGAGAGGGTTGGAGGAATGGTTCTGCTTGTAACTGGGGGAAGAATTTGGTAGTAACTAAAGAGGAGTCAGTGGATGTGCTGATTTCCCCCAGTGTACACTTCCACTGCTTTTCTCTTGGTGCCAGAGTCGAGCCAAAAGGATCCTTCTGGACTAATCCAGATATTTAACCAAGTCCCTTCAGAACCATCCTTGTCAACTGGGCACATGGAACAGGGGGCAGATGATCTGGGATCCATTCCTGCTGCAGACTGGGTGTGTGAAGGTGCACTGGTCTGCTGGGTCCTTGGGCCCCATTTCCCCTTCTGTGAAAGGGAGTGGTAAAACTTACCCACCTTTGCAATGCAGTTAGATCTCTACAAGAAAACCTAGGTAAAAGCTAAATTTGTTTATGCCATTAAAGCTTAGCATGAAGTTATTTGGGGTCCTTCCCTTAAGAACAGTATGAAACAAAAGAACTAGGTCCCAGCTGTTTGGACTTTCTCAAGTCCACTCTGTGGAAAGGGGGTTGGCTTCACTAATGGCTACTTTTGCCTCTTTGCAGAGGAGAAGAGCGGACAGACAGCAGCGCTCCAAAAAAGTTGGGGTCCGATACTATGAGACTCACAATGTGAAAAATAAGAACCGGAACAAGAAGAGGAGAAACTTGGAGGGACAGAGAGCAAAGCACAAGAAACCCAAACACAAGCAGTAACAGCTGGTGCCTTGATTAAATTTTACCCAAACCTGTTCCTGTAGCATGCAGTTCTTTTTCTTTCTATACAGCATGTATTTCCAACCTCAGAGCCCAGTCAGCCACGTCCTGTCACAGCGACTAAGAGGAGCCCTGCCAGCATTAGCCCATGTTGTAGTCTAGCATGAAAGCTCAGGTACGCACCTCCAGAGCCTATTTGGAGATGAGTCAGTAGAAAGTGGGGGAAAACAGCTTCCTTGATTTAGGAAAAACTTTCTAAGCTATTTGCACTACCAGGGTAGTGAAGTAATGAAACATGGCACCTGGAGACGCTGGGGGATCTTCTTCATTAGAAGCTTTAAGAACAGTTTAAACCCTGCGTGATGTGCAGTTCATGGAAGGGTGGTTCCTTTTTCAGTGCAGGGATCTTTGAGGGCCCTTCCAGTCTTGTCTCTTTTTCTAGATTTGATGACTTCATGCTATAGCTTAAGTCTTTCCATCGCTCTTTAGTTAGCCACATGTTCAGGATACATAATTGTCTCAAACCTCATTAATCATGGCTTGCTTTCCTGGCCATTTTTCCGGATTGTGAAAGGAGCACACGGTTGGACACTGCCCAAAACATTTCTTTGGAAGAGATCTAGGAGAGGGGAGGAGGAGTACTGTAAGGGGAGGCCTACTGTAGGTTGGGCATTCATAGTGTTTCCAGGCTACAGCCTCTCTTGTCTGTCTTTTTTTTTAAGATGAATTTGACAAGGGGCAGGACAGATGTGCTTAGGGTCTAGTTGTTCTGCCAAAAACTGTTTTGTTCATGCCTGCAACTGTTGCAGCGAGCAGAGGCTTCATTAAAAGTGGACATGGCATATAGTTTAGATGGGAGATGAAACGGTCACCTTGGCCTGGGAAGTTGCCTTGCCAGGAGCTCCCATTACTGCAAAAAGCAAAAGCATGTGTCTGCTGCTGAGGACACTTGGCAACACTTGATTCTTGAATGGTACATGCCTTCTGGTGTGTTGGAAGCTGTCTGATGTGTGGGCGCTGGTGTTAACTCAAAGTAATCTCGTCTTAATTTCCCTGCTGGTTTCAACCTAAGAGCAAGCAAGCAACCTGCAAAGCTCTTACGTCTTCAAGGTGAAAAATGTGACTGGTTGAGAAGTGACTCTTCTGGAAAGCTGGCCCCAAAACAAAGGTTAAACTTGGTGAGACTCCTGCTCTCTGGAGCTTTCCAAAGTGATGGGCTGAGATGCCCCCAGCTGCATTTTGTTCCTGTGTATGCTGTTAGGTTTTGTTGCGATGAACAGGCCTGGAAACATGGACGATCCTGAAGGGACGAAACACCTCAAGTCCCTCTAGTGCACGTGTTGACTGCAACTTGGTGAGTGAACCAGGCTCAGCACTCCCAGTTTGTCAGGAACTTTGAACTCCAGAGCATTTCTGGCAAAGATGGGAGCCTGGGAAGCATTAGGGCTTAGAGATGAACTGAGCAAGGAAAAACTGAGGCAATCGATCAGGAAGTACTGTTTTATAAGGTCAGTAATGACTTGTTAGTCCCCTAAGGAGTTTTCCATCTCCAAGTTGGACTCGTGCCACTATTCACTAGGAAATATTTGATAGCACAGAACAGACTGGATGATCAGGCTGGCCCTTCAGAGAATGTGGAGAGTGACTGAGAGGTAACTTGCTGTCCCTTGTCCAGTGGCGGTTTGGGTTTTCATTATCTCTTCAAAAAAACTTCCCAGGTTACAGTTTGTGCTCAATTGCTGCAGGATGCCGCTGCTTCCTTTCAGAGTGAAAAGTACTTTAATACAGTACGCTTGGTCTAGCACTATACAGTTGGTCTAGTAAAAGACATCACCCCCCCCCCAATAAATAAATAAATACATCTATGCCTCTTGCATGTTTCTGGTACTATCATGGCTACAACAGCACTCCAACCCCAATACTTAGTACAGAATTATGTTGATGACCTCAGGAGAAGGCAAGTGACTGCACACACATCACTGTCTTGATGGCAAGGCATTTAAAAACAGGTTGATAAAACTTGGATAGGAAATGACTAAGAATTGTCTTAGACTCTGGGAGAAAAGGCTAGAAAGGACCTCAGGATGTTGCAGGAGAGTAAAGAACTTGTTATCAGCACACGGGACCTTTAGTCAGTGGGACTGTAATGCTAGGTTTGCTCTCCCAAAAGCAATGCAGGTGTGTGTCCCTCAACCAGGGTCCTGCGAGATCCTTTCAGGGGTGTAACACAAAGTTACTCTCGTGAGGTGTGCCTATGTCATTCACAAGCTAAACCCTAAGATTTCAAGCAAGAATCCAAGATGTTTAAACCATTTTTTCTGACCTGTTGTGGACTGGCTGAGTTTTTTGCAACAAAATAATTCTGCTAGCATTTTTCTGCACTCAGAGTGAAGGCAAGGAGCCGGCATTTTCCGAGGGGGTGTCTTGAGTCTCAAAAGGTTTACAACTACTTCCCTAAGCTATTCCATCCTTCTGTTTGAAGTGAAGGCTATGCAGACTTTTCACTACTTTAGAAAACTCTCACAATCTCAACAGTCCCTGAGGAAATTACCTCTGCTTTTGCCATTAGAAATAAGAGATGAAAGTAAAAATTCAGGCCTCAGCTGAGATGAAAATATCACTGTGCTGTGAAATCCTAGGTATGGATGACTAGCTTTCTTACCCTGTGGTAATTTTCATTCTTCATTTGCTGGACAGAGGACATTCTTTATTACCAAAGTGTACCCAGAAACTTGGTGTTCAGGAGACTGTCTCACAAGATTTGCTTAAAAAAGTCATCTGGCAAATTCTGAAAGGTTTTTTTTTCTCCCCCCCCCCCCCCCCCCTTAGTCAAATTCATATGACTAAAATCAGTCGCCTTCCAGCATCTGGCTGTATATAGCTGGTGGGTTATACAAGCACTTCAAGCAAAAGTTTGAGTTGCTCCACTTGAGACGACACATAGTTGGATGGGCACCAAGAGAGAGTCGAGTCCAAATTGAGTTTTAACATTGAACTCTTTCAACACACCCTGGAAAGCGCCAATCACTGAATTTGGGTCCTGCATAATTTGCCTTTTTTCTTTTGAGGCTTAATTTTGTGACTTCCTTTTCTGATTTTAGAGGAAGAAAATCCAGCCCAACTTCATGAGAAATGTCTTCCCAGTTTTCTTTAACTTTTCACTGAGATTAGTTCCAGCATCTGATTCCTCCCTGTAAGTATTATCCAAGGCCAGTTGTCAAACTCGAGGTTTAGAACAGTTCATTTAACCAGCAGGTAGAAGAGGAGAGATCCAACCCAAACAAAATTCAGGTAGAACTTGCAGTGAAGATTGTAGGCATTGCACGTTTCTGGTAGCTGTAGTCATCTACAGGTTGGGGAACTCCCCTCTTGTCAGCACGGAGGCGGAAAAGGATCTGGGAGTCATTATTGACTCCAAGATGAACATGGGCCGGCAGTGCGGGGAGGCAGTTAGGAAGGCCAACCGCACCTTGTTGTGCATCCACAGATGCATTTCAAGCAGGTCAAAAGAGGTGATCCTCCCCCTCTATGCGGCACTGGTCAGGCCGCAGTTGGAGTACTGCGTCCAGTTCTGAGCACCGCACTTCAAGAGGGATGTGGACAGCATCGAGAGGGTCCAGAGGAAGGCCACTCGCATGATCAGGGGACAGCAGGGCAGGCCCTATGAGGAGAGGCTACGGGACCTGAACCTGTTCAGCCTCCACAAGAGAAGGCTGAGGGGGGA